GTCTTAAGCCTTTTTGCTGTAAAATGAAATATTTATAATATTAATTTTTATAAGACAAAGTGTTATATGGTGCTGTGGAAATGGGGAAAAAGCTAAAAACATCTCTGTGATGCATTTTAACGGAGATTTAAACATTTGTTTTACTTATAAAAATGCATTTTTAGTAGAGCAAGTTTGTTTCCCCGGGGAGAAATAAATTTTTTGAATAAATGGTAAAAAACAAATTAACCCTATTATTTTTTTCTTATTTTAATCCCGATGTGCAGAAAGTTTGACGCAAGTAAAACGTTTTTTCCTCTCCGTGAGTCGAAGCATCTGAGTGTTTTTGTGTGATAACGGGAACAGACAGGAAGGTTCTCATTAGGACCCCCCCTCCACTCCCCCCACCCTTCAGCTGCGCTCCTCCTCGGTCAGCGCGCTCCAGACACGCTCCGCTCCAGGATGGACTCGTCTCCTCCTGCGCGCCTCCAGTTGTGACGCCGCTGTAGTTTGGTGGGAGTTCCTTGGAGGAGGAGTGGGGGAGTCAGAACCGGTCCTTTCTGTTCTCCGTTTCCCCGCTGCTGGCTTCTTAATTCCCGCCTCGAACAGCCGCTCTGCTCTGTCATCTCCGGGCTGCAGCTCCGACATGGGAATGCATTTCCATCTGCTGCTGCTGCAGTACTATTTCGTCTCGAGTTTCGTCTGCAACGCCGTCGCTTTTGTGGAGGAGCCCTCCGGAGGGAGGTCGGAAGGCTACTGCGGGCGGATCCTCCGGGCTCAGACGCAGGGGACCCGGAGGGAAGGGCACCATGAGTTCAGGCTCCGAGTGGAGGGGGACCCTGAAACCTACCAGCCCGGCAACACATACCGAGGTAGTTCTCCCGTTTTCATTCGTGCGTAAATTACGCAGTTAGTGCGTAAATGTGCACCAAATTGAAGAAACATGCTTCAACTTCCTGTTGCGTTTAAAAAACACGCTCAGTGATCTCTCCGTCAGAGTTTGTTAGAAACTTTTCCTCTGACTCCTGCAGGGAGGATGGGTGATAATGTATGACCTATTTTCACTTCCTTCCTCCTCTTCCTGCCAGAAAGTGAACACGCTCAGATAATAGCACGCAGGCACAGACTCACAAGTCTGGCTCCAATTAAGCAGACAGTTCCGGATTTGACCACAATCAAAACTAAGTATTTTTTTTAATATAGTGATTCTGGATGAGTTTAGACAAGTTTACAACTTAAAAAAAACTTGATTTTTCTGAACAAACATGAACTGATGCCTGCAGTGGAAAAGTTCTGCCTCCTCGGTCCCAGAAACTTTGTCTTGTTAACATTTTATTGAATTTCACTCCAGCTTCTTCTTTTTTTTTCTGCCAACTGTGGAGCTTGCTGGATCTTCTGTCATTATTATGATTCAAAGTGTGACATCAGAAAGGAACTTCTTTCAATCAACCTGGCGTTGCATTTCTTCTTGCATCCACTTCCGGGGCTTGCTACAGTCCCATTCTAATTTTTTTTAAATACTGACAGGTGTGGACAGAGAAATTTCTCTGTCCACAAGGTTGCATTTCAAGAAGAAATGCAACCCCAGGTTGCATTTCTTCTTGCATCCACGTCCGGAGCTTGCTACAGTCCCATTCTATTTTTTTTTTTTAAATAATGACCGATGTGGACAGAGAAACACGAAGATATTTGTTTTCTTTATCTTTATGGATATCTAAAAACGTATTTTTTGTTGGTGCCACATTTGTAAGGAACATGCATTTGTGGGATGAGCAGTAGAGCTGAGTATGTGGGTTGTGCACGTGGAAAATTTGCCGACTCTTCTCGGTCAAACAGCCTGTTTTTGTTTTTGACTCTTGTTTTGAGCTTCTGGTACCTCCAGGTGAGGCCGAGCTCACACTTTTCTCTGCTCCGTGTTCAGAGTGCAACGCATTTAAAACAAACTTTGTTTTTATCAGTTTAAATAGACTGAATGTCTGAACAGCTTGAAGACAAGTGATAATTAAAGGTCAAACACTTAGTTTGATACACAACTCTAATGCAATAAGTTAAAAAAAATACTGACATCCCTCCATTTTGGTGAAATGGATGATGTGAATGATGTTGAGGGCTTCACTCTGAGTTTTAATGTTTCTTTTTGAAACGGACGACGTCAGGAAGCTGCTCAGTGTTTTCAGTATTTATCTGTTTCTTTGTGGATCACGGTTTCTTTTTGTTTCACAGTGACCCTCCTGGCATCCAGCCCTGCTTACTTCAGAGGTTTCACCCTCATCGCGCTGAAGGAGGGCAGAGAGGGCACCACGGACGACGACTACGCTGGCCAGTTCCAGGTAGGCCTGGGTCGGGACGTGGGAAAGAAGCTCTGAGTGAACGTGCTCCCTGGGAACATTTGTACAAACTCAACGAGGCTGCATGTTGTGTGAAATGGAAATAAATAAAAAAAAACAGAATCTGTAAATCTCAAAATCCCACATTTTGAATTTTATGGCATTTGAGGAAACCAGTTCTGGAATTCTTGGAGGGGAATGTTGTTCTTCTCTGATGTGAGGATTTCATATTGCTGAGACATCTGGGCTGCAGTCAGGACAGGCCTTACTTCTAATGGAGACAGTTTGTTTATTTTCAGGTTTCTCTTTTATTGTTCTGTAAAGGTTTCCACGATTAGTTAGACTTTATTTGATAAACATATTTTAACTGTAAAATAACACCTCTGTCAATGAGCTCTGGTTTCATTTAAAAGAGTCGATCATCAGATATTGTCCAAGATTAACCTTCAGGGTGGATATAGCTCGCTAGCAGCCTCGCACCGAGGACCTATCCACGTCATCATTTACCCAGAATGCTTTGTGTGTAAATAAAATGGCTTAGTCCGTGTAATATACACTGCTCAAAAAATAAAGGGAACACTTAAACAACGCACGCTAACTCCCGATCTTAATCAATGAAATATTCACATTGAGTACTTTGTTCTGTACAGAGTTGAATGTGCTTCATAAAAGTTTGATTTACTTGGACTTAGCGTGAGTTGTTTAAGTGTTCCCTTTATTTTTTTGAACATTGTATATAAAAATAGTTAAAAATGATAAAAACTAAACAGCCTACAGTATTTTTACAGTCTTTATTTTACAGTTAAAATATATGTTTATCAAATAAAGTCTAATGTTACAACTAACCATGGATCCCTTTAACTGTTTCATAAGTTTTTTTTGGCTAATTCATCATTTCATAAATCAAAACTTTCAGCTCATGTATGACAATCCTGCTATGACTTTTGGTATTTTAGCCATTTATACTTTTTTAGCTATTTCACCTCTTTGGCCACATTTTTCAGTTTGAAAATGAGTGGAGCTGTTTTCAACCTTAAAACCATTAAATCTTTGCTGCACCTCCTTTTGTTCTGGTTCTGCTCTTTTTAACTTCCTTGTGCTAATTCTAGCTTCTTTTATTGTTAATTTTAGCTATTTTTCTGCTAGTTTAGCTAGAATTCTGCTTCTTTCTGCCATTTTCTATTTTTTTGCTTCCTTTTTGCTAATTTAAGTTATTTACGCTTCTTACAGTTGTTTTCTGCTATTTTGAGCTATTTGCAGCAATGTTTGCTAATATGTAGCTGTTATTAGACAAAGTTAGCTTTTTTAGGCTAAATTCACATTTTGGTGGCTATTTCAGCTTCTTTCTGCTTAGTTCAACAAACTTGTGCTCCTTATGTTTCCTTGTGCTAATTTAAACATTTCTAGCTACATTTTAGCTGTTTTATTGCACGTTGGGCTGTTTTAGCTATTTTATATTGTCACTTTTTTGTACTTTTATTCTTTATTTTCCTACTAGTTGGACATCTTTACCCCCTTTTACCATCTGGATGCGAATTGTTTGCCACCTTTACCTTGATTTTATGCTAATTTTAGCTGTTATTTTGCTTCTTTTTGCTTTTCTTCTGCTAGTTTCTGCTTTTTTGTGCTTCTTTCAACTTTTCAAATTGAACTACATTAACAGTTGTACTAATAAATATTTTCAGCTCCATTCCAGCTGAAGTTTTCAGCAATAAAGATTCACATTAGCCTTTTTGCAGTGAATGCAAATTTCTCTATTTTGTTCAGCATCGTCTTGCTGAAATATGCGAGTCCCTTCCTGAAAATGACATCATCTGTGTGGGAGCATATGTTGTTCTACAGCCTGTACTGATGAAAAGAGTGGCTTGTTCAGATGCTTTAATGTGTTTTAAAGTTGGCTCGGCTGCTCCCCGCTGTCGTCTGATGTGGAGGTTAACGGAGGTGTTGCTGACAGACGCAGGTAGCTGAGTTTTCTGATGTGGAGGAGAGGAAAAGAGAGTTTAGATCGGCCTCTGGTGCTGTCCTTTCAGGGTGAAGCAGAGACGTCGTCTTACCTCCACAGAGAGGACAGAACCGGGGGGGGGGGGGGGGGGGGGAGGAATTTTTTTCTTAGACTAAAGCAGCGTGCGAGAACAGAGAGATGAACAGAGTTAGAAACATAAAAGTGAAATGTTTGTTTCAGTAGTAACACGTCTCCCGCTGAGCAGCGGAGAGCTCCTGAGGAGAAGAGCAGATTTTCCCAATTACTGTCCCCCTCAGTGTAAACAGGAACACACATCTGTTTCCACACGCTGATTCTAAACAGACCACCAGCAAACTGAAGCTGCTTTTCTGGAGACACAGCATATTTTACAGCCTGAACCCAGAACTTAAACGCTCATGATCATTTTTGATCATCAGCTTTGCTTGTTTTCACAGACTGAACAGTAGTTGGGTTTCTTTTAGGCAAATCAGAAAGCATCATCCGAATGCCACAAATACAGAACTCCCAGTCAGAGATGGAGACAAATATAGATAACCAAGTGTCAGAGAGTGGTGATGAAGAAATGGAGCTAGCTTAAAAGAAATAAAATCTGGTTTTACATCTATACAAGAAAAAAAAATAAAGGCGAGATCTTCAACTGGGAAAATGTTAGGATAATAAGGACAAAGTGTGTTCTTTGTGCGCCTCAGATTGGAAACAGCTGCTGAGTGACGTCATCCCAGATCAAAACTTTATTTTTCCACGTTTATTTGCATAAAATTTTCTTTAAACAGAAAAAAACCCCGTCTCAAGTGAGCACAGAAACGTTAAATTTTAAATGAAACAGCTATTAATTCATCACTTTTTTAGACAGAAACATGAAGAATTTACACCCTGAGCTGTTTTTAACTGCTAGTAAATCTATAAAGAGATGTTTTTTATAAGAGCTGTTGCTCTTTTTTTGTTTGTTTGGTTTGACTGAGTAATCAACCTAAAACACAAAAATGGCTAAAACACAATAAATCTGACTTATCTGACATAAAAATCTGGTGTGGGAGTAGCTGAATCGTTCACAACAATAACAACACCAGAATGAATTTGAATGTTTTTATTTCATACTGACAGACATTCAGAGTTTCCTAAAAAAAAGGATTTATTTTCTTGAGTGGTTTTATCTCTTTAAACTGTGAGTGGGTGTAACCAGGAGCAGACATGGCCTTGACTCACAAGTTTTAGAAATTTGCAGGCTTTAGTCGAATCCTCCAGGATGAGGCGTTTTATAGAAACAGACTGTTTTTTTGGTTACTGCAAGAAAAATGGAAGCCTTTTGACATTTTTGACAATCTAGTGAATCCTGTACAGCGGCCTTGGCTGCAGTTATTTTTAACTTATTCATTTTTTTTCAGAGCATGCCAAGGTTCCAAGAATTCACTTAAATTGCCGTAATTACTTTAGACAAAGAAATTACTCTGCTCAAGCAGACCACTTTAAAAAAAACTGTGAAATAGCAGGGGTTCAAGTGGTCCGACTCTTCAAAACACCTCTCTTCAAATATAACATGAAAAATCCTTTTATTCTGCATACAGGTCACTAAAAATAACACATTTAGCCACGCCATTGCCTCGGTCTATACTTTGTAAACTAAAACTCAGACAAAAAATGCAGTATTTCATATTGGCATTCATTTGGTCGTAGTGTAAATCTGAAATGAAAGGTGGGGGACAGCAAACATTCCTTCCAGAAAGGCTAAACACTATCAGTGGCCAGCAAATACGGTCTTTTTTTGTTCTCATGATTAAACATTGCAGTAAGGATAGCAGCAAAAACAACAACTTTTAATGTATGGCACGGTATGAGAGCCAAAATTAAGACTATTGTTCTACCAGCGGTTGCTACATCCTTGTAGCAGGAGGCTATATCTGTTCCTAAACAGCTATTGATCTGATTAATGATAGGCCAACATTGCTAACTGAGCAGCTGCTTAGTAAATGAGAGGCCAGAGCTGGCTAATGAGAAGGAGACTATTTGTTTGTGTTAGCATCGGAGAGGCTAGCAACTAGCATGGATAAACTAGCATGGATAAACTGGCGTTAGCATTGGAGAGGCTAGCAACTAGCATGGGTAAACTAGCATGGAATAAGCTGGTGTTAGCATTGGAGAGGTTAGCGACTAGCATGATAAACTGGCGTTAGCATTGGAGAGGCTAGCGACTAGCTTGGATAAACTGCCATTAGCATTGGAGAGGCTGGCGACTAGCATGGATAAACTGGCGTTAGCATTGGAGAGGCTGGCGACTAGCATGGATAAACTGGCGTTAGCATTGGAGAGGCTAGCGACTAGCATGGATAAACTGCCGTTAGCATTGGAGAGGCTAGCAACTAGCATGGATAAACTGGTGTTAGCATTGAAGAGGCTAGCGACTAGCATGGATAAACTGCCGTTAGCAGTGGAGAGGCTGGTGACTAGCATGTCTAGGATGCTCACCTACTTTATTAGACAAACTTTTTTGAATAAAGAAAATTTCCATCCATCTTCTATACCCGCTACTACTTTTCAGGGTCACAGGGGTCACTATCCAGCAGTGACTGTGTGAGGGGCGGGGTACACTCTGGACAGGTCTGTCACAGGGCCACACATAGAGACAAACGAGACAGACAACCTTTCACTCTCACCTACGGACAATTCAGAGTTATCAGTTAACCAAACAGTCATGTTTTTGCTGTATGGGGGGGACCTGGTGTAACCGGGGAAAACTCACGCATAAACAGGGAGAACATGCAAACTCTACCTTTCTCCGGGCCGGGATTTGATCCGGCGACTTTCTTGTTGACCAACTGATCCACTGTGCTGCCCTCAATTTAAAAAAAAAAACATTAAAAAAGAGAAGTATAAAGAAAACTTTCTCAACAAAATTGACAAGCAAAAATACAGGAAAAAAACCACTGAAAATCCAAGATCCCTGAAATATACTGTGTGTAATATCTGGTCTGAATGCGCTGCTAACAGGAAGGTTTGTTTTCATTTTTCACAGTTCCTTGTG